GAAAGTATAATTAAATAAGGCAGCTGTTGGAGGCCGGAATTATAGTACTGTAAATAAACACGATCATGACCAGGATTAATCCTGGTCGTCGAAATATATATTAAAGCAGTGTCCGGGGAAGATACGAGAAGATTCGGAAAGATTTGTCGAGAGCGAGTAAGATACGTATTGTGTGGCTGAGAATCGTCCAGGACTAGTCTTGGATGTGTACATCATGTTTTGACGAGATTGTTATAACAATCTATCGTTCCAGGACTATCCTGTGTAAATCACGTAATAATCCTAAAGACTACAGCTATCAGATCGAGTATGGAGACGACAAAAAGGGATTCTTTGAAGCTCTTCTATTTGGAGGTGTAGGTGTGAAAAAAGAAGAAACAACCTTTTTGAAGATGAAGAAACATGTATTAGTAGCTGTTAAACTTCTGCACGCTTCCAAAGTTTCAGCACACTATGGCCCGTCGACCTACTGCTCCACTTGAGCTGGGGAAAGTTCTTCGTCGCCATCACTCTTGTCGTCGCGGCGCGGAGGTGGCAATTTCTCCTCCGTACCATCATCTTTAGCATATGGTGTCGATGTAGAGGCTTTAACAGGGAGTAGACGGGCCGTCCGTAGGTAGTAGAACAATTCGATCGTCGGCGAGTAAGGGCGGTCTTGCTCATGTCCGGATGGACACTCGTACACACCTGTCGAATGAGCATCCAGCACACATAGAATCCGCAGCTGAACGGATCAAACTGCAGAGGGTTGTTCTGCGGAATAACATCGTATCCTTGCAGCCCAGCTAGCGTGAGGTGGGTTGCCACAGCCTTTGCAGCATTCATGTAGGGGCCTTGATTTAGTGGATCATAGTAAAATACGGGTTTTTGACTCACCTTTACCGTAACACAGCACCAAGGGAAGTTCATGAGATTCAGGGGCAGCAAATTGTCTCCACAGCTTGGTCGCCCGCTCGATGGAGAATTAGATCGCGTATAGCAACGGATCCTGGATCAAAACAGGATTCTTTAAAACTTTGCGTTTTGGCTTCTTTTTTTAAAGTCTCCAAACTTGACAAGAACACCCGATAAGCGCCTCTCCGTTTCCACTAGTCCAGGCTGCTCTCGATCGAGAGCGTTACACAGCGCCGCCAGGATAACTTCTCCTGCTTTTTTCTGCCTTCTTTCGCCGCTTCATACCACTTTCGGGCGGGTTCTCACCTGCAAGCACATTCTTCTTCATTTTGCTGGGTGCTCCAACCTTTTTGGCTTTCGGGTTCAGCTTTATCGCTACCTTACCAGTTCCTTCAACCGAAGCGTTCTTCTCTTCATCATCACAGACCATGCCCTCGTCTTCACTGCTACTTATCCCAAATTCTCGTTTCACGTCATCATCATTGTTTCGAGGTGAACTTTGACTCGCTCCGTCATCTGCATCTTCCATTTCTTCCGTGACAATATCTGTTTACGCCAGTTTTCGCTGGCGAACATTTCTTATCTGATTTATAACAAACCCTAGCATCTCGTCAATTCGTCATTGTTGTCAATATCCGCCAGTTCATCTGCAATCAAATGGGTCTCACGTACTGCCTCTCGGTATCTGTCTGAATGCGTTCGCACCCTTTGTGCTTATGCGACTTTTGTTTCACCTGAAACACCTTTCGTAAGTGAATTGCTTCACCTTCTTCAAAGTACGGCTTGCTGTTGTCCACCTACGTATTCATTCAACACGCACCTGTTAGCAACAAGATACAGGATCGAAATCATGGAAGTATCTAGAATTTTCAGCTCTGGATATATGTAACAAAAATCCCTATATATAGGATAATCCAGCGAAAATCCAAACGGAACGAGGCTTCTCCAAACTCGTTCATCGCCATGAACGTCAGCAAATGATAGTTGTATCTAAAAACAAAAAAGTCATGTTTAATCCTGTAAGAATCCTGGATTAATCATGTATACATAGAAAACAAACCTGTTTGTCTTGTGGCTGCAGTTGACCAAAAGAAGCTCGCTGAATCGCCCGTACACGCGCCTCATGTGAGCGGTAGCAATCGAGATCACTCCGCTCTCTTCTGCATCCGTCTCAGCCACGGAGGACACATTCTCTGGATCTGCCGCTGCGAAAAGCTCGAATTCCCGAGCGGTGGCGTCGATGTCGTCCAATGTCGAAACGGAAGATGAATGGCTGCGCACTAAGCGGTCACGTCGAGCTGGATTACGTTTTCATCGTGATCCAGAAGTTAGTCGTAGATGCACGAACGCTTTGCACCAACTGGTACATGTAGTATGCCGTCTACATGGGCTCCAACCAGTGGATCGGCGATGCCCCTAGACGTGAATTACGTAGCATACGCACTGACAGAAACCCCGTGGCTGTGCGAGTAACTGCCGTTCGTCACTTGTAGCTCACCGCGAGCCGAATCCCACTGCACAATGAACCGAAATGGGCAATTCGTGAGACGAATGTGCTGTCTCGGACGTCACCTTCGCTCCGCGATTTGCGCTTCTTTCAACCGTGCGTACAAATGTACGTGCGCTGATAAGGGTCTATTGTTTCAGGCACCATTTGCGAGTCGTCTTCGTCCTTGAGCCCTTTTCAGCCGCTTGTTCCTCTCCGCTCGCGACATCGTTTCCTTGACCGGAAGCACCTGCATCGTCCTCCGGCAATATAGAGCGAAATATGCTTGTCAGACCTCCCAGCTGCTGTGCCAAACCTGCGGTGGATTCACAGCCACAAGCCCAACGTCACTTCTCACCTCCTCCTCTGCGCCGCTAACATCTGATACCGAGTGACGTCCTGCTTCTCCATCCTCCTCCTCTCTGCCACCAGTGCTGCCGGCACTGTCACGTCCGTCATCATCTTCCTGGTTGCCGTGATCAGTGCCGCTGTCATCTTTTTGGCTTCTGTGCTCATTACTGTCGGCATTTGGCTGCTCGTCGACTTTCAAAAGTGCTGCATCAACACGCAGATTGTCCGAGAGGCCAGGCCCCCGACCCTGTAAAGAGGTGCCACATCTAACCGCGCGCCGTGGCCGCGACTGCGTCGCCGCCGCCGACTCCTACTTCCATTTGAGCAGGGAACGGGAAAAGAGATAATGGGAGAATGGAGATCGGGGGGTCGTCCTCGATTGGAATTAGCCCTCGATCGTACATAGCCGAAGGTAATGATTTTTACCCCTTCAAATCATGGACACCTCCATGACTAGAGCCCTGCACATTTCTAGTACTATAATAGTGGTCTCCAACAGTTCCGTTAGTAATTTCCCCTGATTTAGGACAGATTAGGGTCGCACCGGAGGCAGTTAGCAAAGGCTCAAAAAGGTGCTGTCTCTCTTTAGAGAATTGGGAGTCTAAATCAAAGCTGCAACAAAGCCGCACACCGTATTTAAGCACGCCTAAAAAGGAACAAAACCAGAATCATAGCTCTGATAGTTCCTCGTGCTAAACCAGGTCGGTATCGGAACCGCTTGGAGCTGCTTATCCTGGGAGCGAGTAGCTGGGCTGAGAGAGCTGCGGGGCTGGTGCTCTGTCAGACACGAACGATTGGATGGGACCAAGGTCCTATTGTTAATATAGTATTGCAAAGGGCTGAGCGGCGGCGGAGGAGGTCTCTCACTTTGGAAGTTGCTGTGTGAGGCACACAGCTCCGTGACATTCCTCTACGTCACGGTCATTACCAATATCATCATTGTCCGTGCCATCGGACTAGGCCAGCAGCTCAAGCTGCTTGTATTCATCGATTCCCAACATGCTCAGTACATCACGCCTAAAACGAACCGAGCCAGAACCACGATTCTGATAATGACTCAGAACCCCTAAGAATCAGGAACTGGGTTCTGAGAATTTTTGGGCTCGAAGTCATAAATGTGAAAGGACAAGAACCTCGACTTTTCAGCAAAAACCATTCTCCTACTCCCGTAACACCACTATCGGAAAATACATGCCAGCGTAATCAGAATCAGTTATGATTTCTCAAAATATTTTTTGACAAGCGCGATTAGCAAGCCAATCATAAAGCAGTAGCCGACAACGCGTTTTGACAAAAAAAAATAACACAAATGAGTTAGAGCGATTCTGAGTTATCGATTGGCTTAAAAGTCGGTAAAACTACATCTGATCAATCCAAACGCTTGCAGCCCACAGCACCAAGAAATCCTACCAGGTCCTGAGGGTGGTTACTACTGCCACGCGTGCCGTGCCATGACACCAAAATTAATCCGTGGCATGACGTGGTTAGCTATAGGTAAGCCAGGAATGTTATTAGGGATCATGCCAAGAGGAAAGTATCACAATACACCTCACCTTAATTAAGAGGTCCTACCAGTTATGCGTTGGTGCTCGGATCCATAAGTCGATGCTGGTGGGAAAATTGATGGCAATTTACTCTCAAGTCATCAAAACTGTTTTGAAAGCCACTTGTATTTTTAAGATCCCTATGATTCACAATAGTAGCCTCTTCATAATAACTTGCAGCACTTTACAATGCAAAGTTAGCTCCACCCCACGACACTTGAGAATAACATCATTTCAAGCGTTTTACGTGATAAGGCTTCGTTCTACGATCTGTAATATGTTTTTGTTTTCTGATGACTTTAAAAAGTACTTAACTCGAAGATACGGTAAAAAGAAGATTATTTTCATCAGCTCAAAGGATGTTTGGAATTACCTTTAGCCTTCAAGGCCTCAACAGGGCTGAAACAACAATTACTACACCAGAGCGCAAGACTGGCAAGAACACGCTAATGGTTTTATTGTACACGCAACTAGTAAACTTTGACTAGCGCTACCTTGATATGGCAAACCAAGCATCAATAATGAAGGTATAAAACCCTCTTAAGCACCGCGGAGCTACGACCCAATTGCCATCTACCCTTTTCGTAAGCCAAAGATGCAACGTCAGCAACTAGTACAATATTTTGTTTTCATCATATCTGTCCTTCTCACTAATGCAAGGCAGATAAAGCTAAAAACTCGTGTTTTAGCTCCTGCAATTAGGACCGTCATTTGCATAGCTGAAAATGGCAGCCTTTCCCGCCGCCCTGCCGGGTGTTTGTGGCTTCTCTTCGTTGCCTTGGGCAGCAGAGTGGTGCGATGTTCCTACTCTACTTTTTAAGCGACGGTCTGCAGCACCGAGTCGACCCCGGGGACAGCGTCGCCTCTGCCGGCGTCAGTCAAACGAACTACGGAGAAATTAAATGCCTTCAATTTCATTTTAATGACTAATCACATGCCGCTACTTCAGCGTTACCACTTCAGACCATTGACAGGCTCTCTTTTACGAGCAACTATTGGTCATTTGCTATTTAAAACTGTGAGCCCAAGGGTTGGAGTTTCACATTTGGACTCAGTAAAAACTGCGGCAAGACACGTGAGCCTAATATACCAGTAATAATGGTTGACAGCGAATCCGTCCGAAACCAAGAACTGAATTAAAGGCGGTAGTTGGCTCCTAACCAGTAAGTTCATTCAAGGCATGCAGTACATCACGACCAAGCAGGAACTCTTCGTTACCATCTGCATTCAAATATTCCACCGGACAGTTAATGTTGACTGGTCCTGTCGCTGTCCTCAGCGACAACTTCAAATACACAACCTCCTTTACGTTCATAGTACGTCGACCAACCAGTTCGCACAAAACTGGCTGACGCAATTTCACAGTTTCGATCGCTTCTTCGCTCAATTTGGCCACATCGGCTCGAGCAATGCACGACTTGAACGCTCCACTATATACGCAATACGGTAGCTCAAGTGAGTCGCTCACTCGTACCGTCCGTTTTGCTTCGGGTAAGCACTGGCTAACTCGACGGAGGCATGCGGAGCCTCCCTTGCGGATTGGACTGTGGTCGGCGCTGGTTGTTGTTGGAACTGGATGTGTGGGTCCTGCTCTCAACGCGGGGACAATCTCTCACTAGATGCCATCCACCGCAGCTGAAACCACTCTGCTTGCTGCTGCGACCATTTTGCGGTGCGGTACTTTGTTCTTAAACACGGCGTCCAGCCTGCCGTGCTTGGCCGTTCTTCGGAGCGTTTGCCTGATTTTGCCGTTTGCGAAAAGCAAACAAGTTGGTGATTTTCGTTTTCACCACTCTCGTTGTTATTCGGCTTGCGTTTTTCACCTGCACCAGCAACTCGCAACGCACGGTCGATTTTCTCCTGTTCCAAAGCCTACTCCATAATGCGTTTGAGCAATTCAGCAGCAAGTGCAAGCCGTCTTCAGTCTTGAAACGACCTACAAGTCCATTCGTACGAATCAGTGTGTTGCATGAGTGGAAATAGCTGGTCACGTGGGCCTATACATCACCCTGACCCTCATCCATCGACAAATCGCGCTAGAACAACTCCTCAATGTTAGGCAGAGTGCGGTTCTTGAAGCTCTCAACCGTCTTCATTATCCAGCTCCAAAGAAAGTCGTCAGTCAAGTCGCTCTTGTTAATTTCCGAAGCTGCTTCACAGAGTGTGTCCAGCTGTGACTTATCAAATGAATTTCGGATGCTCGTCATGACGGCATCAAGTTCGCAAGTAGTTTAGCAGCGGGCTTTAATTGCTTCGAGCCGCAAGTCAAGCCATCTCGTCATGTCCTCATGCGATACATCGGATACTTTAGGCGCACTGACGAAGGTAAATATCGGCTGCGGTACCATTGGATGGCTGCCGACCGAAATGCTACACCGTTCTGCACAGCAGTCAGCGCGCTAGATGCTCCACCAGCATGGCGCCCTGCTCCTCCGCCTGATGTCGCTGCTCACCTTCCTCTTGCTGCTCTTTGTCGATCCCTACTCCGCGCTTGGCGCCGATTCCCCGTCGCAGTCGACTCTTGTGCGACTGCCGGAGATATTGATGCTACCACCTGGCTTGCCGCCACTTGATCGTCCTGCCCTAGACGTGACGCCTGTCTCGGCCGTAGTGTTCTCTGCGTCGGGGTCGTACTTGCGGTCGTCGCATCCCTGTACACGTAAGCGTCGTTATCGGTAGGCGTTGCTAACATTTTCGTCGTCGAACCTTGAATAACTAAAGGTAACTTTGTAGTCGGTCCACGGAACACGTATTAGGGAAGCTGGTGGCTTCCTAGGATTCCTTGTTTGTATTGGTGCTGATTTCACAATGAGGCGTCTAACTAGTCTGGCAGCGCTCACTCCAAGCATGTTCTCAGGCTTCGTCCTCTGTGAGCCATGTGTTATACATGAGCTCACTACAAGCTGCTCCCTATATTATACTGGGATGCATTACAGTGGTAGGTGCAGCCTGCACCGGATTAATTCCACGGTACCCCGTTTTCGCGCCCTTGGGCCTTTGATAAACTTCCGGATGTCATGATCCTAAAACCAAATAAACTACAGTTTGTATGCTAAATCTGATTTATTTGCAAAACATATATGGCCCATCCCCGCGAAAACGGGGTGCACTACTGTTGTAGTGTAGATCGAAACGCATGGGTCAACATTCGCGTCACCGGCAAAAAACTAAATTCGTGAGTGTTGACAAAACGATTCTCGGTCTTTGCTGTTGTTTTGTTCGTTTCATGTAATCTGACGTTCTGCTTAGATGCCCCTACGAAGCATTAATGCTCGGGCATTGCTCACAAACACGGACAAATGATAGCAAAAAGTCGCGTATTGTACGGTGTATCGGCCGTTTGTGTGGGAAAAAGAAAAAACAGTTGAGCGCGGCCGGTAGACACCGGCCATAAAAGCTGATCTGATGAAAGGGGTCTTCTATGTTGTCTTACTTTCTGTGCAATATAGGAGCCTTTGATCTCGTAACGGGGTACGCTCCAGTGTGCCCCAGGTTACATAAAAAGTGACCCGTCACACCCGGTACACGGTACCAGGTGCTCTCGGAACCAGTCAGTGCATGATTACTTAGCTCCACTATAGGTAACCTCTAGTTTGTATGGGACCCAAGCTTATCTTCAGTCTTAAATCTACTCATCTAAGTAGCAAACCGTTTCCTTTGAGGTCGGGAACACGTGGATTAACGTTCACTCGGGTAGTTAATACCCTTAAGCACTTCCTTTGTGCAAGATGCTGTGTGACCCCGTCACACTTGGTAGCACTAGTAGTCAATCCAACTCCATCGCGGGTAGATTGAACTACCTGAATCCTCTGTGCGCTCAACGTTTGAGTCATGATGGACCAAAGCGAGCTTCCTCGCTTGAACGTCTAACAGTACGAGTCTGTTCGGAAGATAGGAGGCATCTGTGGACAAGATGTCCTTCGCAGCTTGGCGGCGGCGACGCCTGCCGAGCGGCAAGAACGCGTGACCACGTTTGAGACCAACGATCGTGATCTCTATGCTCCCGTCCGCGGGAGCTTGGAGGCCACGATGGCTGCTCTCCAGGCAACCAGGCCTAAGCCGGTATGGCTGAAGGTCCGGGGAAGGAAGGGGAGAACCTTCACTTCTGGGTCCGTGAGGTGGAGATCGCCATGCAGGCGGGTCACATCTCGAATGATCCACTGCGGGTGGCGTTTGCCCTGTCCAACTATGGTGGACGTGCGAAGCACTGGGCGTACACCAGGGAGACGACATCCCCTGATGCTTTGCATCCTGGGCTCAGCTGTGTGAACAGCTTCGAGCCGCGTTCCTACCGGTGAACAATGAGTTCCGCCAGCGCTCACGCTTTCTCGCGTGTAAGCGAGGTAAACGTGAGCTGCAGGAGTACGCGCAAGAGATAAGCACGTTGGTGGCATCTCTGGCAGGGAATCCTCTGCCTGAAGACGTCAAGACAACAGTCTTCATGGACGACCTGAAGGTCGGTCCTGCTCGCACCCAGCTATTCCGGGTGCAAGCGACAACTATGGAGATGGCGATTCGAATCGCTCTCCAAGAAGAGTAGATCCACAAGCAGGCTAGAGCTTCTCGGAAAGAGGAACATCGCCATGATGAGGATGGCGATCCTCGGAAGGCGGAGCATCGCAGCAATGACGCTGTTGCTCCTGCTGTCACGCAGCCCGTTGATACCGGTGCCTACAGCGAGCCTGAACCCATGGACGTAAGCGCAGCCGAGAGCGTGGTCCGCCGCTATGAATGCGGCGGACATGGACACTAACAGAGTGTGTGTCCCTCGCCAGTCCTCGGAAAGAGGACAGCCCGTGGACCCCAAGTCCGGTGGCGCAGGCCACGGTCAGGTGGACGGAGACTCCCCGGCCGCCAGTAGAGGCGGTATGATCTACTAAAGAGCGCTAAGGCTTCGTATGGGTGTGCAGGTTGTGCACACCACGGGACTTAGCCCAGAGAGACGTGGTTCTCTTAAAGTGGTGAAGGGCAGTGATGGGCTGCTGGTAGTACAGTCAGTGTACGGGGGTACGGTACCCCTTGAAAGTTTGATGAGTTCTGGGGCGTTGATACTCCACCAGAACGTCGCTTGGCATAGCGACACCCGGCTGCACTCTATGGCAGCGTGGCGGTCGTGGGCTGGTCTTGGTGGACTAGCCTTTGGTTTGGTGAAAGAAGTACCAATGGTCCTCAACGGACCCGAACGTTTCGGTTCGAAGAACTCGCGCACCGCGGTGTCGCTCGCAGTTCTCGCCATGAACAGCATGGCTGTGCCGAACATAAGGCACATCCCGGACTTTGGTGTGGCAAGGCTGAGAAGGGCCTACCAGTCCAGGTCTATGACGGAGCATTGGTGAGTCATGTTCCCACCTCCGTCATGACTGGGGCGTCTGATACAGACCGCCAGGACGCAAAAGCGTCACAAAGCTGTCAACGCACCGACAGCTCTGCGTACAGCAAGTCTATGCTCCGCTGCGGCAATGCCACGAGCGTGGGTCTTTTGCCCGACGTGTGGACCTGCTACACCAGCAGCGTCCAACGCCGAAGGTCGTCGCGCTGACGGGCTTCGACAGTGGTTATGCCTTTAAGCGCTAACCATGTGGATAACACAGTACCACACGCAGTCGCCCAGACTATAAGTGAAGAGGAAGGCGCTGAATGCGCTTCCTGTGTGGACAACACAGTACCACACGCAGTCGCCCAGACTATAATTGAAGAGGAAGACGCTGAATGCTTCCTGTGTGGGTAACACAGTACCACACGCAGTCGCCCAGACAATAACTGAAGAGGAAGGCATTGATCATGCTTCCTGTGTAGGTAACATAGTGCCACACGAGGTCTCGAGTGCTTCTGATGCCGTCAACGAGACATCACGACGTGGGTAAAGAAGTGCCACGTCAGCCACCGCAAGTCGGGTCTGAACCTTGTTCAGGCCGACGTTGTTTCAAACGACTCGGAGTCCAGGGCCCGGACTCCTCTGACTCGGTCGGTGGACACCAACTCTGGCCGGTGTGTGTGCGGGTCTGCACGCCAGCTGATTCCCCAACACCGAAGATCGTCGCGCGTTCGACAGTGGTGGTGCCGAAGGGCATTCACCAGGCGGGTAACATAGGTCCACACTGCGGATAACAAGTTCCTTAAGCAGCTTCGCTGCTTAAGGAGACCGACATTCGGTGCTCCGAGCATGGGTAACAGAGTTCCACGCAAGGTCACTCAGACTACAACTGATAAGGAAGTCGCTGTATGCGCTTCCGGTGTGGGTAACAGAGTTCCACACAACCAAGGTGGGTAACATAGTTCCACACCCAATGCGGGTAGCATAGTTCCGCACACAGAGCCATTGGCTTGAGGCGCGAGGTTGTCTTGGCCTCGATCGACGTCAAGTCGCGCAGACTCAAACTGCTGACGCGAAGGCTGGATGAACGGCCAACGCGGTCACCCATACCGACGCAGTGCACGGGGCGGAGAGCT